CCAGCCAAGGTTGAGAGCCCTGCAGAGGCTGCAAGCCGGTTTTGTTTGGCCTACATTTTGGTTTTCGTTGTTGTTTTTCATTTGTTTTTAAGTTAAGAGGCCCCGTGCACGAACTTGTCCCTCGGCCTGGCCGGCGATCAGGCTGATCGGGACCTGGCCTGGCCAGCCATCAGGCTGATCGGGGCCATCTCGCCCAGTCCCTGTCCTGGCCGATCAGAGCTGGCCATGGGGGAAGGACTGCAGGAGGTTGGCTGTGGGAGTGCACTGACCACCAGGGGGCAGCTCCTGCATTGAGCTGCCCCTGGTAGTTAATGTGCTCCCACAGTGGGAGCACCACTCAGCCAGAAGCTAGGCTCACAGCTGGCGAGTGCAGAGGCGGTGGCAGGAGCCTCTCCCGCCTCTGCTGTAGGTGGGCGGTAAGGAGCGAGGGGTCCCGGACTGTGAAAGCCCTGGACTGCAAGAGGGATGCCTGACTGCCAGCTCACGCTCCATCCCCCAGCCGGCAGGGGGGCATCCCCCAAGGGGTCCCGGACTGTGAGAGGGAACAAGCTGTGCTGAGGGACCCCCCCCCTCCAGTGTACGAATCTCATGCACCAGGCCTCTAGTTATTAATAACGACCTACAATGTTTGCTAATGACTGATACTATAATCGTGTTACATTCATTTCCCTTACACACCTTATGCACAGGTGCACCATTTCTCTCCACTAATACCAGCAGCAAATATTTTAGCAGCCAATGGCCACGTCATTAGTCTTGTACTGACTTGTTTAGTGTGCGCAACAGGAAAGCAAATATTTTAGCAACTGATTGCCACGTCATTAGTCTTGTCCTGACTTGTTTGGTGTGTGCAATAGGAAATATTTCGCTTTCAGAGAACAAGAAAAATAGGTTTATTTGTTTGACGCTTATTCATCTGTGCAGTTATTCAGTGTCTGGTAAGTCAATGTTCAAGAAAAAATACTAATTTTTATTAAAATGTTCTATTATTTTATGTGAACGATGACTCGTTTATTTCAGCCCTTTGTAGTCAGCATGTCTCTATCGAAATAAACCTATGTCTCTATGAAAATTGAAGCGTTTGGTTTTTTGTGGCCCACATAAACCTTTTTATTTGGCCCGTATTAGCCTTTGAGTTTGACATGCTTGTTCTAGAACCTTCCACACTCCTGGAAGCAGAAGTGGTCCCTCGCACACAGCAAGCCTTGGCTGGGCGTTCCCTTCTCTCCTCAGCACAGTGTGGTCTCATTTAAGCTGCTCTCCAAGCACCAAGGCGACAAGCAGGGCCTTTCCTTTCTCTGACCTAGACTTGCGGCTTTTGCCCCGTTTCCCTGGTGACCAAGTCTTGGTGCAAACTCTCCGTGGGGGGAGAAGATGAGTCTTGGCCATGGAGAGCAATCTTGCTGTTCAACAACCGCTGGGAATGGAGCCAGGCCCCACGCGGCTGCCTGGCCAGGGCTGGTCTGAGCAGGTCAGCCGTTGTGTCTGAAGGACGCCACCTGGTGGGCAGCAGGGAGGCATGTGGTGAAGAGCGGGCGGAGCTGGTCCTGGGAGGCCTGGCACTATCCGTGAGACCACCTGCCGAAGGCGGGAGGCCGGGGCCCAGCATGTCACCTCCTGCAGGAGGACCCGGGGTAGCTGTGCTGACAGAGCAAAGCCAAGTTCAGGGGTTCTGGGCCCGAGGGGACAGTGTGGGGGTGGCATCTGTCCCCAGACCAAGGCATGAAACCAGGATTGATGTGTGGTGCTCGGACAGAGCCAGGGAGAGCCCTGCCTGACCAAGGAGAGAGAGGCGGTCAGAGGACCCGGAGCAAAGACACCACTCGCGGACGATGTGTGTGTGTGTACACATGCACATGAGATGTGTATGTGAGTGTGTGCACATGAGTGCGTGTGCCTGTGTGTGTGCACATAAGTGCATGTGTGTGCATGCATGCGTGAGCATGAGTGTGTGTGTACACAAGTGTGTGCGTGCATGAGTGTATGTGCTTTTAAGCATGTGTGTGGGCATGTAAGTCTGTGAGTTTGTGTGCACAAGAGCGGGTGTGAGTGTGTTTGCATGAGTGTGTGCATATGAGCGTGTGTGTGCTTCCTCTCCGGAGGCCACCACCCGCAACCCTAGGCTTGCACGGACCTACATGCCTGTGTAATGGAAGTCTTACCTCCTCCGGCTGCAGCACGAGTCCTTGCCCCCACCTTCGCCCTCAGTGGGGAGGCCCAGTTATCTCCGTCTTTTATTGCTTTTTAAGAACTGCCTTGTTTAATATGTGTTACTGATTTTTAGAGAGAGGAGGGGAGAGAGAAACATTGATGCGGCGGAGAACACTGCTGGGCTGCCTCCTGCGCACCCCCTAGTGGGGATGGAGGGCCCACGGGGCAGGTGCTCTGCTCGGGAATGGAGTGGTGGCCTCTGGGGGTGCTCCCCTGAACCGCGCTTCTTGGGGGAACGTCTCCAGGACATCGTGGTCTCTTCAGGTTTGCTATGTCTTCGAGTCGAGTTCAAACTCTGATATTTTCTCAAAAAAGAAGTCAGTGTTATTAAGGTTTCCCACTGAGTCACCAATGAAGTAAATAACAAAACGTTAAGAAAACTCACATTTTTATCTTAAATTTGCCGAAGGTGCGTCTGTTTTCTTGAGGATTTTCCCCTGAGGCCGCTCTTGAGTCGGTTTATCAGCTCTTCTATGTTCCGTCCCCAGAGGCGGGCTCCGGCTCCTGCCTTTGCACCCCGGGGCGTTCTCCGCTTTGTCCTGCTGTGCCGCTCCCCTCCCTGCGGCTGTTTCAAGGATCAAACATTCAAAGTGAAGGCTCTGCGATGGCTCCACCTCGCCCGTTCCCTGGGCTTGGCCATGTGATAGTCTCACCGTTGTTACGGTTTTTAAATAGCCTCTGAATGCAGCTTCGATTCCCACCTGGCCCCATGGTTACTTCAGAATGTTTTTAAAATTCCTGAAATTCTTTAAGTGGCAGCATGCAATTGTAATTGCGTTATTCCAATGCAAGGCCCGCCCGATTCTGCGTAGTGGAAATCTTTCAGGTTTTCACTGCGGTCCATTTCATTCCGAAGTGTGATCCCGGCCCCTGGGCTCCCACGCAAAGCTGCACCTTCTGAAGGCACGTTCCCCTGGGTGCCCGTGTCTAAGGCGGCTCCGTGCCAGCCCTGCTCTGAGGTGGTCGCTGCGGTTCCCCTCGGAGCGACCAGCTGTCCCGGGAGCAGGAGGCCGGGGTTCTCCCTCTGTGCACATCCAAACTGGCCCCTGGCCTTCCCACATGGAGGACAACTCAGCCGCATGAACGTAGTGGGTCCCCACCTTTCTTCCCTCAAAGCCCCGTACACTCTGCGGTGTGCTGGCTGTGGTCTCCCGAGGCTGATGGCGGTCAGGAGCGTCTGCGCCAGGGCCTTGGCCGCCGTCCCTCAGCGGAGGCTGTGTCCCTGCCTTGCCCCCGGCTCCCGCAGAGCCGTGCCCTCAGAATATGATGTGCTGTCCTTCCCTGGTGCCTGAGGGGCTCAGCACGTCCCCAGCACTGGCTGCCCCCGGTGCTGGGCGCGTGGATGGAGCGCGAGCTGAGGCCTGGGTGTGCGGGAAGGCAGGCGGGTGTGTGATGGGGGAGCGTGGTCCCCGCTATGCTGCCGCTGACCGTCCTCTCCCTCCTCCCTCCTCCAGATCCGGTCCGACAAAGACAACGACATCCCCATCCGGTACAGCATCACGGGCGTGGGCGCCGACCAGCCGCCCATGGAGGTCTTCAGCATCGACTCCATGTCCGGCCGCATGTACGTCACTCGGCCCATGGACCGGGAGGAGCGGGCCTCCTACCACGTGAGTGTCCACCTCAGTCCGCGCTGCGCAGGGTTTGGCCGTCTCCTTTCCTCTGGGGCCTCACTGGGTGGCTACGAGGCGGGCAGCTGGGCACGGTGGGAGCAGTGACCTCTCGCTCTCGTGCGCTGGCGGTGCCTGCCCTGCCACTCCACCCCTCTGGAGCCTTCTCTGTCCCTCGCAGAGGCACGGCCCCTCGAGGGCGCCTCCTTTGGGGCCTACAGGGACGCTCAGCCAGTACGTGGGCCCATGCACATCTGAGTGAGTGAGAAGAGGAAGGGGAGGGTGCAAAGGCTTGTCCCTTGTCCCAAGCAACAGCGACTCCAGGTCTCTGCCAGCCGGGCCCAGCCTCCCCTCCATCATGGCCAGGTGCCCCGCCCCAGGTCTCCGTCCCTGATCAGTCGGCGCCTCAGGCCTGACTGTACTGCTCTCCTTTCTGGCTGAGCCCATGGCTCCGGTTAACCTTAGCCCACTCCCGGCTGGGTCTCCCAGGCCTGACCTCCTGGTAGCAGGACTTAGGTTGGCCCAAGGGCTTTTCTTCAGCTGTTGTAGGTGGATGTGCACTTGCTGTTGGTGCAGGGCTGAGCGGAGCAGGGGTCCCAGGTGGCCTCAGCACTGGGCCTCTGTCAGCCCCAGCTCCTGCCCATCACCCGATCCATCCTCCTGCGGACCCCCCCTCCCACGACACGCCTGCCTCCCCTCTCTGTCTCCCC